CGCCTTTGCTTGTTGAGCTTTATCTCTGCCTTTGCCTCTTTGCTCTAAGTGTTGCCTATTCCTGGAAATATTTTCCCTCAGATTCACTACTTAGCTCCCTCCCTCACTTCCATTGGGTTTCTGCTCAAATTTTACCTTGTACATCGCCTTTCAAGCCTCCTCTTATGTTAATGTTTGATGCATATATTAATTTAATATTAATCCTAGCAATAAATGCTCTATTTAAGGTAGTAAATTATAGAAATAAAAATGATAGCTATAACATTTATTGAAGTTTTGCTACGGGGTGTGAATTTTGCTTCCCTTGCTGGTGGCAATCTATCTTCTCCTCAGACCTTGTCACCTACTCTAGATCTTAGCCCAGATGATGCCTCCTTGATCAGTGAAGCCAGAAGTGGTTCTTCACTCCTCTGTATTCCCTGAGTGATCAGTTTGTACCGCTCTCTTTCCACCTGTGTTGTGAGTATCTTCTCAAATGTAATAGACCCATGTCAGCAGAGACTATATCCAGTGTCTCTTTAGAAGAAACACAATCTGTATAACAGTCTCTTGTAATCCATTTCAGGTATTTAGGAAAGATTACATATGCTTTTTCAAGTTGTGTAAATGAATTCACATTGATGGGTTGCTATTAATTGGAATCATATATTTCATTTGTTGTTGTTTTTTGTTTTGGGGGGGACAGTCTCACTTGGTCACCCTTGGTTGAGTGCCATGGCATCTAAGCTCACAGCAACCTCAAACTCCTGGGCTTAAGTGATTCTCTTGCCTCAGCCTCCCAGGCAGCTGGGACTATAGGCACCCACCACAATGCCCAGCTTTTTGTTGCAGTTGTCATTGTTGGTTAGCTGGCCTGGGCTGGGTTTGAACCCGCCAGCCTCAGTGTATGTGGCTAGTGCTGTAACCACTGTGCTATGGGCTCCGAGCCAAATCCTGTATTTTTTACTTGTCTTTTCTATGCTTCTGCTTTTCCATGTCATAGAAAGACTAGTGTTTTTCCTGTTTTAGAATAAGACTTATGGGTATTGGGATTGCTTTATGGGCTATCAGAGTAGCTGCACATTAAGGTGATTTTTTTGTGGTCTTGGTACTTTCAGCTTGTCTGATGTGGAAAAGATGGCTTGCCTTGAGGCTTTAAATAAAAGCCTCATCTTGATTAAATAAGGGATTGAGGCAGATTTAGAGGAAAAACCTGGTTGTGTGTAGCTCAATTTGTATAACTAACAATGCCCCAAATAGCGAAGTCTTTAATGAAGATTTCTATTTACTTTGATGGAGATTTTCAGTTTTATGAAGCCTTTGTTAGCTAATACATACTCCAGAGAGAGGGACGACGTAAGCCATCTTCTGCTGCATAGTCTAACTTAACTATGATATTTACAACTGACACTTCAGAACATTTAATTGAAACTTTTAAAGTGAAAAAGATTCAAGGAAATGAAGACTAAGATGATGACAATGGAAAACGCCACCTTGTCTGCTTCCCCGCATGGGGAAGTGCCTCCATGCTGGGGAGAGCTTCACCCTCTGGGCCTGCCTTTGCAGTTAGTAGTCTGTCCTAATGCTGACTCTGCCGCCAAACCTTGGACTTTCCCCACGTTTGTTGCTCAGAAGCTTCCTCAGGGATTGGGTGGGATTGGTGAGAACAAAGCCAGAGAGAAAGGATAGTCCACTGTGGTTCTGACACGGTTTCATTCTCTTAATAATTAAGGCTTCAAAGGAAACCTTCAGCAGCTTGAACTTTTTTAAAAACATTTTTTATGTATCATTTTTATTTTGAAATAATTACAGACTCACAGGAAATTGCAAATATACTATATAGAGGTCTTATGTGAACTTCAATTTCCCCCAGTGGTATCACCATAAATAACTACAGTTCAATATCAAAACCATGAACTTGCCATTGGTATAACTCTTGGAAATTCAAATTTTATCCATTTTCATGTGCAGGGGTGTGTGTGTAGTCTATGCAATTTTATCTCATGTGCAGTGTGGTGGATTCATGTAACTACCTCCACAATCAAGATACGAAGCTGGGGGCGCCCATAGCTTAGTGGGTAGGGCCCCAGCCACATACATAGAGGCTGACCCAGCTTGGGTCAGCTAAAACAATAACAACTGCAAAAACAACAACAACGACAAAAAACAAAACAGCCGGGCATTGTGGTGGGTGCCTGAGTCCCAGCTACTTGGGAAGCTGAGGCAGAAGAATTGCTTAAGCCCAAGAGTTTGAGGTTGCTATGAACTATGACACCATAGCACTCTATTCAGGGCAACAGCTTGAGATTCTGTCTCAATAAATAAAAAAAAAAAAATAAGGTACAAAGCTATCCCATCATCACAAAAGGAAATTTCTTTAATCTATTTCTTTGTATTTGCCCCACCACTAAGTCCTAGCAACTACTGTTTCCCATATCCATAATTTTGTCATTTTAAGAATGTCATTTAATTGCAGCCTAGAGGCATGTTGCCCTGGCTCACACCTGTAATCCTAGCATTGTGGGAAATGTAGGCGGGAGGATCCCATGAACTCAGGTTCAAGACCAGCCTGAGCAAGAGCAAGACTTTGTCTCTACAAAAAAAAAAAAAAGAAAGAAAGAAAGAAAAGATCGTCCAGACATTGTGGCTGATGTCTGTAGTCCCAGCTACTCGGGAGGAAGAGGCAAGAGGATGCTTGAGCCCAGGAGTTTGAGGTTGCTGTGAGTGAGGCTGACACCATGGCACTCCTAGTCAGGGCAACAGAGTGAGATTCTGTCTTAAATAAATAAATAAATACAGCTTATAATCTTTAACCACTCGTTTGATGCTTTTCCCAAAGCATAGTGTTTACAAACTTAGGAAATACTGTGTATGTTAACAATATTAACGATATGCAGGGTATTGAGCTAAATCCCCTTTTACTTAATCCTCCAGCACTGGGAGCCTATTTACTCACGCCTGTGTCAGCAAATCACATCATTCCCATGCTTAAGAAACCGAAATGGCTCCCTGTTTCACTTATAAGAGCCTCATCGGACCTACCCCTCTGGGACCCTGCCCAGTCGTTCCCCTCACTCTCTTCTCAACCCCACCCACCTTGCTCTACTCTATTTGCAGTGGTTTCCATGTAACTTTGAACAAACATAATCAGGCTGCTTTCTACATCAGGCCATTTGTACTTACTGTTCCTGATGCCTGGAATGCTGCAGTCAAATCCTTCATAGCTAGTTCTTTTTCATTAAGTCTCAACTCAAATTTTATCTTTTCAGAGACGCTGCTAGTACATATAATGTAAACAAAACAACCACCCCAAACTCCTCCAGATTCAGCAAAAGATAACAAGACTCATCATTTTAAAGCTTTGATAAACAAATAGTATTTTAGCATAAGTATGTCCCATGCAATATTTGGGACATATACTAAGAATAATTGTTTATCTGAAATTCAAATTTAATTGAGTGTCCTGCATTTTATTTCGCAGCCCTTCCTCAATAGCCATCCTTTTTTATTTTTTCCATGAGACTTTTCAATATTGGAAATTAAGTTTGTTGTCTAACTCCCCATATTTCCGCCAAGATAAGCTACGCATGGGTGGGAGCTTACTCACAGAGGCATCCCCACAGCCTACCAAGTGCCTGGCACGTAGTAGGTGCTTAATATTTGTGATGAAGGTTAAAGAAACCAACTTAGGCTGGCAATATCTTCAAGGCAATCTGCTAGCCAGCCAAGACTGTAATCAAACGGTGTGGTGCCAGAGCTTGGGGAAGGCTCCCGTGTTCTCCACATTTAAGGGTGCAGTGAGGCGGGAAGGGGCACTTTGCCGCTGGTCTTTCAGAAGGCTCTCCTAGTATAATAGAATCAGAAGAACCTGGATGAGTAAATTTGGGGCCAAGAGTCTGAATGAGCTAAAAAGACTTTTCCATTTGCCATGAAGCAAATGGAATAACCGAAGAAAAATACGTTTGAATGAAGAGACAGCGTCTCGGCGCACGGAATGGAGTCCGAGGCAGTGCCCACTCGGCCCATTCTCTTCCACAGTAAACTCCGTGCGACTTAAGGGCTGGATTTATTGTCAGACTCTGGAAACAGCAAGATCCTGAAAATAAGAGGAGTCACCAAGGTCCACGCAAATAAAGAGCGGGGAGGAGTTGATGGGGGTGAAGTCAAGACAGAAGAAATCAAACTCTTGGACCCAGGAAGCGCAGCGGGGCGGAGGCAGCCGTGTTCATCCTTAGAACTCTCTCGGGTTGGCCACTCAGCGTGGACGCTCGGCGCCCCAGGGGACCCACTGAGGGCTCAAAGTCTCCACTCTAGCTCAATTCGTCTGACCCAGACGATAGCCAGCCCGTGCAGCGGCCGGCCCGTGGCAAGCTGCGTGGGCAACTGTGGCTGATCGCGGGGAGCAAGCTGGCTCCCGGCCCTAGCCAGCTCCACTCGGCTGCTGCCGGCCCTCCCGCCTAGCTGGAGCTGGAGGATGGTCCCGGGCCGCTCCGACCGGGCTGCTGGTCCCCGGAATCTCCCGCCGAACCCGCCAGGTTGTGCGAGCGGCGTGAGCGCCCAGCCGGGAGGCGGCCGCCCCTGCCGCTGACAGGTGCTGCCCTGAGGGCTCCGGGCGCGGTCCCCGGTGCAGCTGGACGCGCACGCCCGGGCGCGTGCGGCTTCCAGAGCGCGGAGCCAGCGAGGACAGGGAGCCAGGGCGCGGCCTGGGAGACTCCAGTGGACTGGAGTCGCGGAGCTTGGGGCTAGAAACTTTGCAGGCGCAGCGGCCAGTATTCAGTGACAACGCCAGCTCACCGCAGCAGGTGCGGGAGGAGGAGGCAGCGCCTGAGTCCCGAGGCCCCAGAGCCTCGGTGGCCGCGGCGGCATCTTTCCCGCGAGCTGTCCTGAAGCCGCTGGGCACTCCCGGGTTCTGCTGCTGCGCCCGCCGCCGCCGCCGCCACCGAGGAGCTCCGGGAGGAAGCGCAGCCGGAGAGGGCGGAGGAGAAGCCGGAGGAGGAGGGGAGAGGCGCAGGGGGCGGAGGATGGAGCCCCGGGCTGCCGCGGGGGGCGAGCCCGAGCCTGCGGCGGCGTCCTCCTCCTTCCAGGCCCGGCTCTGGAGGAACCTGCAGCTGGGGGTGGGCAGGAGCAAGGGCGGCGGGGGCGGACGCGCGGGGTGTCCCGAGCGTCGCACTGCGGACACCCCTTCGGCCTCCCCGCCGCCCCCGGGGGCCCCGCGGGACGCCCTGGCCGGCGTGGGTGGCGCGGGCAGCAGGTGGAGCGGCTTCAAGAAGCGGAAACAGGTGCTGGACCGAGTGTTCTCCTCCTCCCAGCCCAACCTGTGCTGCTCCTCGCCGGAGCCCCTGGAGCCGGGTAGCGCCGGCAGAACGGCGCAGAAGTCCACGCTGCGCCGCCGGATCCGCGAGCATTTGCTCCCCGCCGGAAAGGGGCTCGCGACAGCCGCGGGAGCAGCCGGAGTGACGCCTCCTGGCGGACGCTCGCCGGACTCGGCTCCTTCGTCGTCCTCTGCCTCATCTTCCCTGTCCTCCTCGCCCCAGCCGCCCCCTAGGGGAGACCGGGCCCGAGATGAACGCGCACGGCAAAGGGGCCCCGGGGCGCACTTGTGCCACCAGAAGAGCTCCTCTCTGCCAGGAACTGCCTGCCTGGAACAGCTGCTGGAGCCACCACCGCCACCCGCAGAGCCCGAGCGGAGCCCGGCGGAGCCGCGGACCTCGGAGAAGGGCGAAGAGGGCGACGGCAGCCAGGTGAGTGCCGAGTGGGCGTGGCCGGAGCCAGGTGCGCGGGGCCACGCCTCTAGCTTCCGGTGACTTCCCCTCGGGTTTGGGGGGCGTGGCGCGGTAAGTAGGTGAAACAATAGCAGGGACACACCTCTCTCCTGTACTGCGAGGTTGGAGTTCTGACTTACACCCTGGTTTGACAATTGGTAGAAATAACAACCTGTCGCCAGAAGCGGTTTGTCACTAGAAGCTATATGAATGGTCCGTGAAAAGTTAGAATAGTGTGGGCACTTTCCGGGAGAGCTCCTGGAAGGAGATATCCAGCTAAGTCTCATCTTGGCAAAAGGAAAAACTAAAAAATTCAGCATCTTAAAAAATAAATTACAACCACGATTGTGGAGGGGGCACAATTTGAAGCAAGTGGAAGTTTGGAAGGAATAGAAATGCGGAGAGGTGAATTAATGGCAAATGGTGCTGGGGTGAGCCTCTGCACGGCAATCCGCTCATTTTCCCGGGTGAACGCTACCCGCCTAAGGCAAACACAGACGTTCCTAATGACTATAGGACCCCTAAGTCATCCCATCCAGTAGCTGGTTTTTTTCTTTTTTCTTTTTTTGCAGTTTCTTTGGCCAGGGCTGGGTTTGAACCTGCCACCTCCAACATATGGGGCCGGCGCCCTACTCCTTTGAGCCACAGGCGCCGCCCTTTTCCATCTTTTTTTTTCCCCAGTAGCTGTTTTTAACAGTTTGAAAAGGCGGTTCTGTTTTTGTAAATGTTTATCAAAGCTTGTTGACGCTAGAAAATATTTAGGAAGTTCCATTCTGACAGAGACCTAAGGAACTCTTTTCTCCCAATACATAAGTTTATTTCAACTTTCTCATTATTTTCACTCCTATTAATTATGTTAGATGAAAGCCAGACATTAAAACTTTTAATTTTATTAAAAGCTGAGTTACAAAGAAACATTAGGTCATATTTTGAAGGGTAAGAAAATGTTGGGTCTTTCAGTTGAATTTTTTTGAGACAGAGTCTCACTATGTCGCCCTGGGTAGAGTGCTGTCACAGCTCACAGCAACCTCAAGCTCTTGGGCTTAAGCGATTCTCTTGCCTCAGCCTCCCAAGTAACTGGGACTACAGGCGCCCGCCACAACGCCTGGCTATTTATTGTTGCAGTTGTCATTGTTGGTTAGCTGGCCCGGGCCAGAATCAAACCCACCACCCTCAGTGTATGTGGCTGGCGCGGTAACCACTGTACAATAGGCGCCATGCCCTGTTGAAAATTTTTATAGTTCATCGACTATTATTGTAATTCCAGATGTCTTATTGCTTAATGAACACAATTGCTTGTAATAAGCAAATACCTGGTGTTCTAGAACAAGATTTTATTCTCAAAAGAGTAAACAGAGATAACATTGAGAAAAAGACTAAATACATTCACCTTTCCTGTCATCGTGAAATTGAACTGGCTACAACCCTTGTTTTTGTTTTAAAAAGTAAAGTGAAAAATGGTTTTTAAAAATGTTTTTAATTTGGTACAGATGAATACATTATACCAAAAAATATTTATTTTTGAGTGTGTACGTAATCCTAATGTATAAGAATTTTAGATTTGGAGAACTATTTACGTTTTTTTTCCCCTTAACTTTCATTATCTAAAATTGAACAACAAATAATAATTGAATTATTTTGAAGGACATGCATCATATTATAATGAATGGTAACTTTTTGAATCACTTCAGTCACTTCACTTCACTGAACCAAGGTAATTTTCAAAGCGAAAGTACAGAATTCTGAACTCTTTATTTTTCTTTTTGCTGAAGAGTTTTCAGAAACTATCAATCTTTCTTTTTTAAATATTGCTATTAAGTAAGACTTTTGTATACAAAAGATCTAAATTTAATCTGGAAAAGATGCTAAACTGGTATTATTGTGTGTGCCTTCACCTGGGCACTTCACATATGGCTTTGCACAGTTTAATTCTCACAGCAGTCCTGTGATATAGAAGTTCTTCTCATCATGTTATTGGTTATGGAACCAATGCTTGAAGAAGGTAAATAGTCTTGGGGGTCATGCAGTTAGTAAATGACAGAGAGAGGCTTTGTGCTCAAGTCAGTCTCCGAATCTTTTCCCCTCTATTATAGTTGCCTTTTACAACTTTTAGAACTTGATCACTTTTTGAGATGACTTTGGTCTTATCAATACTTGAGACTTGCAAATTTATATGCATTCTAACGATGTTTACCCCATCCTTATGTATAATCAGTTTTGTGATGGATTAGCTATATTATTTTGTAATTTGTTCTGTGATGCATGTTGCATATCTATTTTTAATCACATTTACAAATGACATTATCAATCACAATCTATAATTCTAAAGAAGCTTTTCATTGTGAAGAACCAGCATTTCAATGTAGACATAAGAGGAATGAAAAGGCTAAAATATCTTTCAAAAAATAAATGAAAGATGGGATATAGGCAGATAGACTGATAAGCTCTGTGGGGCTTGCCCAATGCCAGAGTGTCCTAGGAAGATTGGTACCTGGCATCTGCAGCTCCTGGGGACTCGCTCCCTGTAAAGGGGAATATTTTCTCTTTTATGAGTCACAAATGCAGCTGTCATCATCAGCACTCTTTCATCCTTATAGAAGAATGATTCCTGGGTCCTCTAAATACATCTCTGCCCAACTCCAAGGAGCACTGCTCACCTCTGAGGGGTAAGAAGAAGTGGAATTGGACCCTGGGACTGGACAAGCACTCACTCAGCTGTCCAGGAGGAGCCTCAGTTCCTGGCATCTCAGACCTCTCCCCTTGCTCTCCCAGCCCCTCATCTCCAGAGATAACTGGGCGTGGGAGGGAGCTCTGGGCAAGTGCAGTTTCAATTTTATTCACAGCACAGGTGGTACACAGGAAAGAAAAGGCAATAAAAGCATCTCATACATCTTCAGACCTCATCGATAAACAAGAACTTTCTTTTTAATTATTGCAAAAACAGGCAAATTGTTTAATTTCTCTCTTGTTCCCTGCTGGATCCTGGCATCAGCATGTTCCCCGACACATTCCCCACCTCTCCTCCCCCTAGCCCAGCATGAGGCCCCAACAACATATGTGCACGTATTCCGACACTGGGTAGAGACGTTAAGCAAAAGCAAAAAATCTGTTTGGACTGCTGAGGAAAGAGGTTTGGGAGTCACTGAGGGGTGATAATTAAAAATGAACAAACTGGGTTACCTCTCATGCCCCTGGGGTCCCCTTGCCGTACTTTTTCCTTTAGCCAAATGCACCTCTGAAACCCCCTCTAGCACGGTTAGTAATGCCTTGCTTTTCGGCATGTGCATTATTTAAAATGTTCTGCTTTGAGGAGAAGAAGAAAAAGAAAAGCACCCCTTTCTTCCTACTGAGTCTAGTTCACGTGTTGGGCCATATTGTCGTACCAGATGCATTTCATTTTTTGCAACACAGTTGGGAAGGATGCTTTCTCAATTTGTGTGCATATCAAAAATATGCCAATTTTATGTATTCTGCCTTGATGAGTTACTAAAATTACATTTCACTGGAATCAGAAAGTCAGTATTTTAAGATAAAGAGAAATGAGTATGTCTCATATGTTAACAAAAGCCTGTAGTATTTATGAATGTTAAACTTTTATTGTTTTTCCTTTGAATACATTTTTAAAAATTTGCTTTCACAGAGAAGAAATATTTTTGAAAAGACATGGGTAAATTATGTATTGTATGATAGAAACGTTTTGAAACAGAGCAAGAGGACTATTGTTGACATAACATTTCTAAAACACAACTTTAAACCCTGATAAAAAGTGGAAAAGGGGCTCAGCTCTCGTAGCACAGTGGTTATAGCACCAGCCACATACACTGAAGGTAGCAGGTTTGAACCTGGCCTGGGCTGGCAAACCAACAATGACAACTGCAATGACAAAAAAAATAGCCAGGTGTTGTGACAGATGCCTGCAGTCCCAGATACTTGGGAGGCTGAGGCAAGAGAATCGCTTCAGCCCAAGAGTTTGAGGTTGCTCTGAGCTGTGATGCAACAGCACTCTATAATAAGATTCTGTCTCAAAACAAAAAAAAAAAAGAAAAGAAAGTGGAAAAGTATTTCCTACAATTGTCTGTACATCCTGCTTTATTATCTAGCTTTTAATGAAAGCCTGTATGTTTAAAAATTGCACAGAAATTAGATTTGGGTTAATTTTTACTATCATTTTCCAGGTGTTTTTAATACTATTTCAAAGAACACGTCTTAATTTGGGGAAGCCAAAGGTTTAAAAATATAATTCCTAATGTAAATAACTATAACCACTAAAGAATTCTAAAATTCTCAAAATTAACCCCCTAAATGCCATATTAGTAGCTCATACTGGTCTAGCCTGAGAAATGACCCCTTCCAAGTTCCAAATGAAAGAGAGCAGAAGAGATCTTAAAATATTTTGCAGCAGGGTGTAAAGGGCAGCTTGATGTGATCGCATTTTTGAAAAATGTTGAGATTATCGTTTTATTCTAAAGAAAGGGGGTAAACAGTGTGATTGGTTTACCTTCACACTGTGGAGTATTTCCCTTTAACCTTTAATTGTGGTGGTAGCTACGTGGCAGATTTGAGTAGAGCTATGATCTTGTATAAACAGTAGCGTTACACTGATGTTAATAGAGACTGGGTTAAAACATAGCAAGCGCTTAATAAACATTCGCACTCACTGCTGTTATTATTACTGTGCAGCATGTTGACATCTTGTGAATGTCTCTATTACCAGTAAATTGGTGGTTGAAAAAAATTCACAGGGAACTTTGCCAGTCCTTTTCATTTAATTTAAGATATGAATTATTTTGCTTGTAGAGGTGGAAATAGTAGCCCAAGATTAACCAAGATACTACTGGTGATATTACATACTTCACATACTAATTAAAAAAAAAAAACCTTATGGTGAGTAAATCTTGTTTTTAGCAAGTATTTGTGCATTATCATGGAAGAATGGATAAGTATTTTGAGTAAGAAGACAAGATTGGTAGATTCATAAT